TTCTTGTTTCCATAGCATCAACAACTTCCTGTCAACAGCGTAAACTCGCCTTCAAAATAAAAGCATGCCAAATTACATTTAAGACATACAACTGCAACGAAAGTAACAAACACAATGCAATATCCTTTTCAATTTCAAAGAACACAAATTGGGTGTTGTTTTGTGTGGTACAGGGTCGCTTTCAGTGATGCGTTTTGCACCCCGGGCCGTTGGATATTCCGCTGAAGTATACGCTGTGACGTAATAACTCTTTTTTTTTTCCGAGGGAAGGGGTGGGGGTCAGAGGGCCTAGGTACAAAAGTCATGGCTCGCCACTGGTCAAACAAAACTGAACTTCAACAACTTCAATGTCACATCCCTGACATCCACAACTCCGGAGCCTGGCCCTTCAACCCGGTGACCTCAATGGTGGATACGGCCATGCCTTTAGCGAGGCAGAGTGATTAACACTCCGCTAGTGCCTGTAGATTTAGCATTTCTTTGACCATCACATACACACGCACTTTTTGGCCCCCCCACTTCTGAAATGAATCCGGCGCCGCTGAGACTGAGTCACTGTAATATATTCTTATATTACGTGTTACTTCTGATTTATAAAAATATAAGCAGAATTTAAATGTTGTAGTTTGTGGGAGAGACAATTCTGGCTCTAGTTCACTGTTTCATAGTTTAAAGTGCATTTTGCATGATAGGTCCCCTTTAATCAATAGCAATGATAAATGTCTTGTAGTGTAGCTAAATAAACCCAAACGCAGGACAGGGGGGGCGGGGGGCGGCGTAGTTATCAGCAGCGAACCGCTTCAACATGTGTATTTCGGTGTATTCACGGCATTCATTTTGTTATTCTACAGTATTGTTGTTTTATAGTTATTTGTTAATGTAACCCAGTGGTTCTCAAAGTGGGGGGTGCGCCCCCCTTGGGGGGCCCAGAGGCATGCCAGGGGGGGCGCGAGAGACCAGGAGGAAAAATGGTTATAAAAAAAAAAAAAAAAAGATAAAGATTTTTTTTTATAAATTGAAAATATTATTGATTCGAAAATAATATGATGCAGTACTATTACGTCTGGGTCTCTGTGTTTCATTAAAGCTCGGCTCTGTGTGTGTGTGTGTGTGTGTGTGTGTGTGTGTGTGTGTGTGTGTGTGTGTGTGTGTGTGTGTGTGTGTGTGTGTGTGTGTGTGTGTGTGTGTGTGTGTGTGTGGAACGAGCCATTATGTGTGCGCGAGCAAGAGAGAGAGAGCGCATCGGTACCGGAGATCGTTGTTGTTAGCTTCTGGTGCTAGCGAGCTACGCTAACGGATATAAGGAGTTTTTTCAACAACAAAGTGGAGGAGAGCCCTCTCCTGTCAGACTGAGAGACTCAGTGAACTAAAGGACTCTCTCAGTGTTATCTCAGTGGGTCTCAAATATGTTGGTCACCATTAATGTAAACAATTATTTCCAAGGCACACGTTTATATGATCATTATAGTTATAAAAAAATAAGAGAATAAATGAAAAACAGGTATGAAATACTATATAACAGTAAAACAAGAATAAAGTTTAAAAGGGTGATTTGTAAAATATCCATAAAGAAAAAGTAAATCTGTTTACAGTTCTGTTTCAAATGGGTGTTGAAAGAGGTATCCATAGATCTCTTCATTTTGCTCTCAAAGTGCACCAGATTGATGCATTTAACTTCAATATTTAAAAATAAATCTTCCCGGACGAGCTTGCCCCCGGACCGCCCTATGTGAGGTCCACACACCACCTATAAAATAGCACTTGACCCCTGCTTACACCTATATACCGTGAGCTGATTATCGAGCCTTCATTGTAACAGTCACACTGTGTATTTGCGTGGGGAGTGTTGCAGTAGAACATTCCACTGTAGCGACCGGTACATTAATGGGAAACCCTAAATGTTTGAGCACCCTCTATGAAACGTCAAGCTACCCCACAGCACCCCCAAAAAAAATCTCTGGCGCCGCCACTGAGCCTGACTATTTGTGTTGGGGGGGCCCGACTTTTTTTTTTCTCCAAAGGGGGGGCCTGACAGAAAAAGTTTGAGAACCACTGATGTAACCCAATTTGTGTTATTTGAAATTGAAAAGGATATCGCATTGTGTTTGTTACTTTCGTTGCAGTTGTATATGTCTTAATTGTAATTTGGCTTGGCTTCCTATTTATGGACATGCTTTTATTTTGAAGGAGACGTAGTGCTGTTGACAGGAAGTTGTTGTTGCTATGGAAACAAAATGACGGAGATTAACGGAGAAAAGTAATATATAAAGACGGAGAAAGTAAACAATAACGTTTATGGTTAAGTGTTAGCAGCGCGCAAACACACACACACACACACACACACACACACACACAGACACACACACACACACACACGTCTCATGATTCTAGATGAAGCTGCAATGTACGCTTTCTCCAATCATTTAGTTCAGCTAAAACATGTGTTTCTCTTTTGCACCCTCAGGATGATGTCACATCAACAGAGACATGTGCTCCCCAAGTGCAGCCTAATTTAAAACATCCGCATTTCCTGACTCAAGTCAGTGTGATTGGAATTTAGTCTTAAAAGAGTTTGTCCTACATCATGAAAGACAACAGAGGCACAAAGTGAGAAGCTCCCTGCGGATAATGGGCAAGTGAAACATTGTAATCTTGGGTGAATAAACCCTTTTTTTCAGGAGAGGTAATAGCACAGATACTGGGCTAGGGTGAGTTTGATTTGTGTTGTGGCAAGAAATGGCAAAATCTCTGTCATTACTGAGTCTCTGTCCTATCATCACACTGCTTTCACGCAGACATGTGCACAGAACCTCAGCCCACACACATAGGCCTACTCCCTAAATTAAAGCCCACATTAAATGTCTGAGAAGTCTTAAACTATCATCCCTGGGATGAAAAAAACCTGTGTTCTAGACAGCAGTAGATAACAATTGTTTGAATCATCTACATTAGTTTGACTGCCAGATTTTTGCAGTTAAATCCCTCAGCAAGTGCAACATTTCATCAATCATACTGGTCTATTTATAATCTTATATAAGTAGATCAGGGATCATCAAGCCTCAAACATTGATTGAGGCTGCGGCTCAGTGGAGTAGTGCGCTGGTCTTCGGATCAGGGGAGAGCCAATTCAAGTCCCAGTCAGCATGTCGTTGTGTCCCTAGGCATGTAGTGTAACACCAAATAATTTACAGTAAATGTACTGCTGTATTGCTACCCTTCAGCTCATACTGTATATGCTTTAAGCTGATCTGTTAGGTGATAGAAAGGATGATCTTTTCAACTTAATTATCGCTGTAAGGTTTCATAACTACACGTCTTTGTGAAAGCAGTTATATCAGCAGAAGCATAGTGTCGCTTAATTAAGTATGTTTAAAAAAATGGAGCAGCATATTGAGTTCATGACTCACCAATGACACTGACAAATATACTAAATATAGAAGTAGACTGCAGTTGCTCTGGTGAAAGACTGTCCTGAGCCGTAAGAGCACTTTATGTATTTTGTATAAATCAAAATCGTCAATCATTGTTCATTTTTATTATGAATTTTAAATGTTTTCTCAAACTTTTAATGGCAAACAAGCATCGCCAAGACGTTCCAAGAGTCTCAGGTTCACTGAATGTCAGGTGGTTTCGGTCATTTCATTAAAGGGGTGCTCCACTGATTTAATAGCCTATTGTACTTTCATGAAGTTGGAACTAACAAGAGTCTTACTGAGAAATAAGGATGAATCAAACTCCAGCCCTCAGTTTGCAACACAGGCTTTTTGTTAAGACTGTGTTGTCCCGAGGCCAAGCCAAGATAAAAAATAATACAATCTCTCAGACATTACAAAGCCCCTTCAGAGCCCCTGAGTAGCACCCACCATGGGAAACAAACCAATATCAGTATGTACAGTTTGTGGAGTGCTCATTTAATTGCAAAATTGATACATTTGCACCAGTGCATCAAAGCATCAACTAAGGAGGGTCCCGTGTTATTAACTATAGTGTTGTGAAAATATGCCAAGGCCAAAATGTAGGAGTTTTTTAATTATTGCACCAGATATTTAGGCTACTTGGAGGCTACTCTTTGAATACATGGAGGACAGTAGATGGGAAGTCAGCTTAATCTGGCCATGAGTGCAAGATAAATTAACACAATGAAAGAATGCCACGAGTCCTCCATTACTTTATATTGGCTCCAGTACTGACTGCTCGCAGTAACCCTGTATTTCACAGATTGATACAAAAGATAAAGCAGCGTGTATATATAGGCTTCAATAACACCACATTTCTAATGCTTTCTTTCAACACCAGACTTAAAAATCTCAGTTCAATTAATGAACTGGGGGGTGACTCACATTTGGCAAAATAATCTTTTTATTCTCACTTTGCACAGCGGATGTAAATATTGGCCCAAACGTCTTTAGCAAGGATTGCAAAGGTCGTCGGTCTGCTAATAATTTATGAGCTGTGGCGTTTCCACCATTTGTCTTTTTACAAACTTTACCATTCTAGCTAAAGATTTGGACATGGAATCGGTCAAGCAGGGCTGGGTTTCCAGTGGTAACATTCGTGGGAGAACAGGACGGCCTTTGTTAAAAAGCTTTAGTATCACAGAGGAGAGAGAAGTCATTGTGCTTTAGAAAAGCCTCCTTATGGTTCATGTCCTCAGAATGTAATGGATCCTCAGCCCCATTTTAACAAATGCAACTCACTCCAGCAGACAGTATATGCATTTCAATGGGCCTGCTTACTGGAAATGAGGGCCTTGTTGTCATCAGTTTATCAGGATATGCATCCCATGATTCCAGACCAAGATCAACAAAAGTGTGAGTCAAAGTTACTCCCAATTTCAATGAAAATGTGTTGTGTCATTGTGAGGAAAGAAGTAAAATAAGTTGAATGTGTTAATGGTAAAGCAGTTCAGATTATGACCAGTCTGATTTAACTGTATCGCTGACGACCACAGATTAACATGTCTAAACTTTAAAGGTTAAAATAATCACGATACCAAAAACTGTAGTTTTTCCTTTTTTATTTCACAAAAATGAATGCTCATGTTCCTGAAAAGAGAGACAGAGAAATCTAGAAAACACAGTTTTCAATTTGCAGATGTGTATCTTTCTTCATTTTTTTTAGAACAATTCATGGTTCATTTTTAGGCACTTGGAATCATAACAACATTCCCTTTCTGAACAAATACATCTTTGGTCCAGTATGTCATTTAAAAAAAGATAATGCCAGAGTATGAAAATAACACCAGTTCAGTTGTTTCCTCAAAAATGTATTTGACATATATAAAGCTTCATAAAGACTTTAATACTTAACAAGATATCATAGCTACATCTCAGAAATGAACAGCAATCTTACAGATGTTTTTGCAAGAGAATACAAGGGAGAACATGTATGTGTTGGCTCAATCAGATGTACAGCAGTAAAGGATTGTTTAGTCAAGTCACATTTGGCAAATATGGGTTTCGTTTTTTTTGTTTTTTTTCAGTCCATTTCCTTTGAAACATAAAGAGCGATGGAGATGTCCACCCTTGCTCCTCTAATAGCTGGTTCAGCTACAGGGCAGCCATGTCTGATATGCATTATTGCACGGGGAGACCTGCGGCGGCTGCACGTGTGCAATATAGTAGTTACTGAAGTTGATGTCCTGCACGTATGGAGCTGGCTGGTAGTAACACGTGACGTTCGTTACAGTGGGGATGGCGTTCTGCTCAGCCAGCACCCTCAGTGCCAGCATGGAGATGAGGCTGAGTGTCTGGCGCCGCTCGTGGCCCATCAGACACACGGTGCTCTCGTTCACTACATGGTGCAGTGTCATCAGGCACTCATACCGTTTGTGCTCCATCCCTGCAAAGTGGTTCTGCAGGTAGGCCTCCAGCTTCCTCTGCTGTTCACCAATGTCAGAGAAGTCAATGAAGAACCGTGAGCACATGTAGCGCTGCAGGTTCTTCATTTCAGGCACTGAAGAGGCGGTGAAGCCCCGCACCAGCAGGTGGCAATACTTCAATAAGCCGCCCCCTCTGATTTCTTCAGGGCTGCGTGTCGCTATCGTCCTCTGACACAGGTGCTCCATGGCCTCCTTGAAGTCCCCATACACACTCTCCCCGATCACAGTGGGGTGAAAGCTCTCAGACATGGGCGTCTCTGAGCAGCGGTCAAATAAGAGCAGAGAGTCGAGGCAAATCTGGAAGGAGTCCACGCTGAATTCAAACTGCCGCCGTAAAGAGTCTACAAATTTTAGCTCCACATTCTTGCCTGTGTTGTTGGACAGCGAGATGAGGCTCCAGCGGTCTGTGTCATTGCAGACCTTTACCAGTTTCTGTACATAGGCCTCTTTTAGCGTGAGTGGCGAGATGCGCTCCTTAGAGACGCCAGCCGGCAGGAAGTCAAACAGGCATTCTAGAACGACATCCTTCACCAGTCGGAAGGCCTGATCGTCTTTCAGCGACACGCCAAAGATAAGGTCGAGGTCCTTGTATCCCAGTCCGGTGTCCTGATGGAGCACATAGCTGGCAGCCGAGCCGTTCAGCCGTACATCCTTAACGCACACACCCCTCTCCTCCAGCCGAGCCCGCACCACCTGGACAGGGACGAGACAGAGACACAACATGTTATAAATGACAAACAGATTCTCTTATAAAAAGGTCCCTTAATGTAAAAAGTGAGATTTCCTTTTTATTTTTTTCTCTAATAGTAAAGTATCAAAACCCTCAATCCATGATCAAATGCACACAGCTCGTGCTTAGAAAATGTTACATTGACGCCACAGTCATTACCCATGTATAATGACTCTAAAAAAGGTAGATACGCAAGACACAGAAACACTGACCAATCAGAGCACACATGTAAAAATTCCAAAATATAAGTATAATGCTGAAAATTGGCATTAACATTTCTTATTAAGGAGGTTTAGTTTTAAAAAATAAAATAGAAAAATGCTCCTATATTTGCAGAAGACACACAACTAAAAAGACTCTTGAAATCTGTCCAAATAAGCTCCACAAGAGCGGAGTAGAAATCAATAGCTTGTGAAGGCAAAAGTCAATTTCATCAACATCAGCCTCAGGTTGAATAAAACCTGAAGAGCCCAAACAAAGAGCAGCAGCGCTGGTGAGTGCGTGCTACAGGTCCATCTCCCTCTGGGTCAGACTGTCTTATCTTCTATCAAATTCACAATTAGATTATAATCCTGAACTGCAGCCAAGAGAGTGGGAACACCAGAGTGCATGACCACCGGTGTCCTGTGGCGCTTGGGGCTAAATGACACGACCTGCAGTCATTAAGGGTCAGCAGCTTTCCCATTCCTCTTTCCCAGTGACCTGTGAGATGTTTGAACTGTCTCGGCCACATTGGAAGAGGATGGTCTACAGCTGGACAGGGTCAGCCAACATCAATGCTAGCAGGCACAAAGGGAAACATGTCAGAAATAAGACTTCAAACATGGATTCGGCCTTTGTACCTTTGTGTCAAATCTGGCGCGCTATTTGAACAGTTTGTCAAACCTATTCAGTGTAAGCACAGCTGATACATATTTAACAAAAACTAATACATTTCACGCAGACTATACATTTAAGCTACACTTTACTACACAAGCATTTCCTCTGTGCAAATAATTATTGCATACAATTTGAACAGTAAGGCTAACATGACTTGTTTCACTCTCGCACACACAATTCTAAATCTCCCCACTGGCACTGACCTGTCAGATTAGTGTCCGTTAACTCTCTCTCCCATGGTGATCAGATAACAAGACGGCTCTATTTATACATACTGGGTCAGGCTCCAAACAAACATTTGAAGGCAAGTCAACCTTCCGCACAGGACTGTGTTAAAGTACTAAATCATAATTGCATATCTTTGCAGTAATAGTGTGGTAATCCTTCAGCCATAAAGTGGTGCCAATTGGGTTCAAATTCCAATCAGAAGCAATAATAGTTTGCCGTTTGTTTGCTTCTGTGGTCAGCCTGATATGGCAAAACAGTCGGAGCCAAATCCAGGGTCAGGTTTACACTTGACCCATTTCCTCCCTCTGCCCTATAACCACAGACAGAATTATAAACACACTAACTTGGCAAGACAGTTCCACTTCTTGAAATAAAATAAATTAATAAAAAGGTAAGAGTAAGTTATTGATGATTGCATTAGCCGAATCTTTCTAGATTAATCACTTAATATTTGGTCTATGAAATATCAGAAAATAGTGAAAAATGTCCATCCCAGTGTCTCAAAGTCCAAGGTAAATGTATTATTGTCATCACAAAACCCAAAGATACTCAGTATCATGTGAACGAGAGCAAAGCAGTACATCTTTAGTGTTTGAGGGTGTTGTTATCTTAGATTTACAATTACAGCCCTCTAACTCCTTGGACTCTAGAGCTTCATAATGTTTATCCCTCTAAACCTGCAGCATGACAAAGGTCCCCACTATCAGTCCCGCCTTCTGGGATGCCTAACAGAAGTGACAATTACATCAAAATAGATTACACATTTAAGTTAAATAGATTTTTTTCTAGGTTGTCATGACACAAGATTCACTGTCGTTTGGTGTTCAGAAAACCACTCATGTTGCAGATGTTAGATTTGAGCTAAATACAATATATATAGGGTTTCCACAAATCCAGGGGAAACTCAGTCCCCACATTTGGGGCTCAAACCTGCATTTAAGCCTCCTGCACACTCAATGGATTATTCATCTCTCCGAAACCACAAGCATGAAGCTCTGGGATTCACAGAGCTTCATCTTGAATAGGTCCAAGTGTAAAAGCAATGGGGAACAAATTTAAGATTCTGCAACACATTATTTGACTTTACTTTTTGTTCATTCTGAAATTCTATCATTTAACTTGCATTCTAACACACAGCCAACTATCTACAGACTTCACGGGAGAAGTGAAATGTGATCCAGCCACAATGTACAAGAGATGGAAATGTGGAAGAACCTTTGCACGTGTCTGTTTCATACATGTAAGTCAAACCAGGGGAGTTGCCATGTATTCCTCACTGTTGTATTTTTGACAAATCCGAAGAGAAAATAACTTTAATATTTGTTTTAATCATCAAATACTATAATGTAATCTCATTAAGATACAGAGAAGGATTTAAGTTTGTCTGCAGATATTTGAACGCAAGCATTGAAAGAATACATAGCAGTCCTCTGAGTAATGTAATGGCCATGGAAATATAACTTAGTAAGGATCCAAAGAACCTCCATATGTTAAAACCTGGGTTTAAGTGGCTCTCAAATGTAGGTTAAAAGACCACCAGGGGTCTTCTAGGTTTCCAACGTAGTTCAAGACAAATAATGTAAACATTTTTATTTCTAATTACCCTGGTGTGAGTGCGGAAAGATAATACTGCATGTAAGACAACATGATTAACAGCTTTCACTACTTACCCACCTGAATGATATTAACTAGGCTAGTAATGTGATTCTAACCAAGTCTATAAAGTAAAGTTTCTACATGCCGACACTTCAAAGTAAAGTAGACATGCCAGAATAGACAAGTGAGCATGTTAAGGATGTGTGGTTAATATTACCTGGACGATCTGTCGTGGCTGCACGGACAGAGTGGGGAAGTTTCCCCGGCCGTGGATGGGGACAGCCTCCCCGAGGATCGAGTCCAAACGCTGCACCTGATCCCAAGACAACACACAGAACCGCCGACTCTGATCCGACGCATCACCGCAAGACATGGCGATGTTAACTTTTGCAACAAAAAAACAAACTGAAATGTGTGCTTCTTTTCTCTGCTGAGTTCTTCTCTCTGCAACACAAGGGAGATATTCCTGCGGTGAGGAGGTCCGGTTTGCGGTGTTGAGCTGAAGAGTGTAAAAAGTTGCTTGACTCAGAGGTGCTGGAGATGAGAATGAGATCTTTCTCTGGTGTGTGCCACTACAATCCGGTCAGTTCTGCAAAAAGGCGATTCATCAGAGGGTTTAAAAGGCTCCTCATTAGCATGCGGCCTGTGATTGGCTGCTGTGTTTGGTCATTGATTATGGACGCCCTGTCTGCACAGAACACCCTGCTGACGCATTTCACTGCCCCCTCCCTCTGCTCTGCTCATGGTGCACGCTGCATGCTGACAGGGTTTTCCCTCAAACAAGCCTTGTTATAATATTCGTTTGATCTGAAGCTGCAGTGCATTTATTAATCTATGATTTGATCATTTGTCAGATTAGTAAAAACAATGACAGATCAGTTTACAGCTGTGCAAACACAACCTTTACTTTCCATTTAATTACATGTTTCCTTGTTTATCCAGGGAATGTTTGCAAAGCATGCAGGATGTAACGCCCTGCCTCACGTTCACACACCATAAGACACTACATGTATATTGTGTTTACTTTGAATATAGGTTATTGCTTCTAAAAATTGCCCCCCAGTGTTTTTTAGTTTTAGTTTTTTAAATAAAGATCTCTAAACATATTCACAAGAAAGAAAAGTTAAAGGCCCTTCTGGAAGGCACTTCAACAGCAGCTGACTCATTCTACAATTTGGGGTACATTGATGTTCATTGATGATAATTATATTTATTCTAACTATTTTCTTCAAAAATATCCTATTTTGTCTATTATTGGAAAGCATGTTATAATATCACACAAACACTATGTGCATCCTATGCTTAATTTAGCTTGAAATGTGTCATGATGTTCTTAAATTGACAGTTTTCGCTATGTCCGTTTTTCAGTTGAGGGTGTCTTGGTTTCAAAATAATGAATAAAAACCATTAAAGTAAATAACAACTATTATTCATTTATTTCATAAGTCTAAATACTAAAGAAAAATATTATTTTTTAAATTGATTTAAATATCTTAATATAGGCTACAGTGTATGAATGTTCGCAAACGTTCTGTCAACTATGTTACTAACAGAACTCCCCCATTTAACTCAAAAATGGTTTGTCCCAATACCAGGTCACCAGCATCACATGATGCCATGTTCTTCTTTGGCAGACATTTTGAACACACTGTGGTGATTGTCCTCTAATTTTGTACAATATGTTATGCACATTGTCAATAATAATAATAATAATAATGCTTTACATTTTTTTATTAGAGCGCTTTTACAGGTGCTCAAATCGCTTTACAAGTACACATTACACATATTAGACATGTAAGAGTCATTACTGCGGACATTACCCACAGGAGCAAATGCGGGTAAAGTGTCTTGCAGTGGCGGGATTCGAACTGGAGTTTACCCCTTGATCTGATGACCAACGCTCTAACCACTGCGCCAAAACCGCCCCAATGAGTATATTAATTGACCATCAACAATGTTACGTACATTGTTATGGTTTACAATTGTTCAATGATTTTAATTCAATTATATGTTCAAATGTGATGTTAACCTGTTCAAGAAAATGGCGTGGTCATCCAGGCAAGCCCATTGAAATGATGGGTCAAAATAGGGAAATTGTCAACTAAGTTACTCATTGGGTAACTTAGTTGACAGGTAACCTAGTTGACCATTTGTATGACATGTAGACGTCATTACACATCATTATCAATTGAATTTTGCACTTCTGCCTTGAAATAAACATAGTGCTGATGGTTAATAATGTGTTGTGGTGACACGTTATTGGACATAATTCACCTTGCTTATTGTGTTGCCACACGGACCCTTTAGTGGGGAACACCTGTAGCTTTAGCTGCCATTCCTGCTAGCTCATCAGGCAGAGCAGTGCATGTGTTAACCTCTCTGATATTAATGGATAATAAAGATTGGAACTCCATTCTTAATACACCGCCTCCGACTCTCTTTTCACGGCACTACAGTGTCCAGTCAACTATGTTATTTGCGTCAAATGTTTGACTATGTTGTACCTTATTTTTTCGAATTTAAAATATCTAAAATAGTGCTTCTGATATCCTTTATAGTATAATGTACATCTACACAGGTTGGAGTTTTACATGACATCTCTTAAAACTATCAAAATGACCTGTATGGTAGTTTTATAATGCAAAATATCCCTGTCCTTAATGACAGTGCTGAACATATCACATGAAAAAACAAAACTTTAATACAATTATTTTTTAAACTTTTAAAAATCATTGTATATATGGTAGAATAGACTCAAGAGCCTTTCAAATTGGATTTTACTTGAAGTGCAGGATTTAATCAAATGATTGTAATGACATCAAGTTTGTCCGTAACATAGTTGACAAACTGAGTAGTGAAAACATCCATCTCTTAAAAAAAAAAATGTTTAACATTACATTACATTACATTGCATTTAGCTGACGCTTTTGTCCAAAGCGACTTACAATAAGTACATTCGACCAGGAAGACACAACCTTGAAGAAAACAGAATCATATAAGTATATCAGGTTTCATAGAGCCAAACATTTCAAGTGCTACTCAACTGGCTTTAGGTAATCCAGTCCTTTATTGGTATAAAAGTGCTTCGTTAATCGTTCTAACGCTCGAAGTGGAGTCGAAAGAGATGAGTTTTCAGTTTGCGCCGGAAGATGTGCAAGCTATCTGCCGTCCTGATGTCAATGGGGAGCTCATTCCACCATCTTGGAGCCAGGATAGCAAACCCACGTGTTTTCGCCGATGGGAACTTGGGTCCCCCTCGCTGCGAGGGCGCAACGAGTCGTTTGGCTGATGCAGAGCGTAGTGCACGCGCTGGGGTGTACGGTTTAACCATGTCCTGGATGTAGGAAGGGCCAGATCCATTCGCAGCACGGTAAGCAAGTACCAGTGTCTTGAAGTGGATTCTAGCAGTTACCGGAAGCCAGTGAAGGGAGCGGAGGAGCGGAGTGGTGTGGGAGAATTTAGGAAGGTTGAAAACCAGACGAGCCGCTGCATTCTGGATGAGCTGCAGAGGTCGGATGGCACATGCAGGTAGACCAGCCAGGAGGGAGTTGCAGTAGTCTAGGCGTTTAAGCTTTGCAACTAGTCGATATGTTACACTGAAGGAATATACTAACTTGAACCACTGATTGTTCTATTGAGAAAGAACACTGTTTTTGTACTGTTTTGTTGATGTGAAATGTACCCCAAATTATAGAATGAGTCAGCTATCAAAACACCTACTTTGTTGAAAGAAGATTATCGGAAAAAACTTATCCTGGTAACTTTTCAGTCACAAACCAAGTTTACTAACCTCGAGGTCAGCCTTACACAACCTTTAATCAAACCATTGTCTAGTAGCTGCTAGTTGTACGTCCGGTTGTGACCAGTTCAACAAAAAGTTTACTTGTTTTTTATCTGTTTTATTTGAAAAATGTAAAGAGATCTGGAAGGGTGAAGCTAAACTGATTTTTTTAAATTATGTTTTTCCTTTAAACAATACACTTCTAAACATCACATCCTTAATACACAGAGGTGGAACAAGTACTCAGATATTGTCCTTGAGTAAAAGTAGAATAAGGATAAGATAAGAAGTACTTTATTGATCCCAACTTGGGACATGTTTGTGTTGCAGCAGCATAAAAAGACATGTCATTGTACAATAACAATTGAAAGAAATAAACAAGAAAGTAGAAAATATACATGTTAATTACAAAATGTACAGTAAAGAAATATAAAGCAAGTTATTATATATACATAAGTATGTGAGGCATGGAATATTAAATTGAACATAAATGTTAAATGTAGTGTGATTTTAAGTCCAAGAGAAGCTATGGTCTCCAACATCTGCACACGTTGAAGGATCTCAGCTTCCTCAGAAAATGGTCTGCTCATCCCCTTTTTGTACACAGCGTCAGTGTTGATCCTCAAGGTCAGTCCGTTCTCTAAGTGCACTCCCAAGTACTTGTAATCCTCCACAACAGCCACATCCTCTCCCAGAATGCACAGGGGCAGTGGAGACGTCCTCTTCCTCCTGAAGTCAATTACCATCTCTCTGGTCTTGGCCACATTCAGAAGCAGATGATTTCTTCCAGTCCACTCAACAAAATCACCCACCAGCTCTCGTTACTCCTCTCCCGTCCACCCTACAACTGCACTGAGTCATCTGAAAATGTCTGAAGGTGGCATGACTCTGAGTTGTATTTAAAGTCAGTGGTGTATAAGGTGACACAGAAAGGAGAGAGTACTTTCCCCTGTCGGGCACCTGTAACACCACATCAGACAGAGCACTGTTCAGCCGGACATATTGTGTCCTGTCTGTGACGTAGTTTGTAATCCAGGAGATGGTGGATGCGTCTACCCTCATAGCCTGCAGCTTGTCACTCAGTAACCGTGGCTGGATCGTGTTGAATGCACTGGAGAATTCAAGAAAGGTGATTCTCACAGTGCAACCTGATCCATCCAGGTACGAGTTAGCACGCTGCAGCAGGTAGATAATGGCGTCATCCCCCCCCCCCCCCCCCCAGGTGAGGCTGGTAGGCAAATTGCAGAGGGTCAACAAAATGATATCTGCTATCTGAGATGGGCCAAGACCAGTCTCTCCAGCACCTTCATCACATACATGTGAGAGCTACTGGGCGATAGTCAGCCGAGAAGGAGTCGTCTTTTTAGGACTGGAACAACGGAAGACGTCTTCCACAGCACCGGGATGATATCCAGGTACAGGGTCGGGTTGAACACGTGTAGTAAGACAGGTAAGTACCAGAGTGTAGTAATACTCTGTTACATGTAAAAGTCCTGCATTCAAAATGTTACTCAAGTAAAAGTAGAAAAGTATTGGCTTCAAAATATACTTAAAGTATCAAAGTACTCATTATGCAGTATCTCAAAATTGTACTTAAGTACAGTACTTGAGTCAATCTACTTGGTTACTTTACACCACTGTTTATACATTGCCCTTTTCCTAACACTGTCAGCTTTCTTCTCCATTTAAAATTAATGAGGGATCTCAAAAAATGCATCTTTAATCAAACATGTTAAGGTGACTTAACCACAAGCTGTGGCGACAACAGTATTAGCGTGCAAAGCTAGGCTAGTTATCT